CAGGGGCCGTGAAAACAGTCACTCCACCCCTGCAGACTGCTCAAGTAGCAGAAGGCTCTCATTCCCAAAGATTTGATAAGTCCTTTCCTTCACTCCAAAAGCACCTCACCCAAGCCCCCGTCCCAGTTTCATACCCTAACTGTGTAGTTGTTAATAAAAAATATGTTTCTGTTAATTACTGTTTCCGTCATGTTCTTTTAGAGAAGAGTGTGTTTGAAGGGGGGAAAGGGGGTTGGTAATTGGAGAGGACAGTCACCTTTACAGGGTACAGACACGGAGGCAGGTTCAGCAGAAGGTCACACACACATTGCAGTCACTAGGCACCCTGGTCAGCCTGGGAGGTGGTTTTCATGTTCTGTGGGGGGGGGCTATGTGAGTTTGTGGCAGGGGAGGACGGTTACAGATCTTATGCAGCAGTCCTTAGCCTGGATGACAGAGCCACGCAGCAGGGGATCTGTAACCGCCCTCCCCCGCCACAAAGTGACATAGCTCCCACACACAGAGTCCCGAAAAGAAGGGGTGGCAGGCTCCGTTGAAACGACCAGTCCACCACTGCGGACCACTCTAGGAGCAGGAACCTGTCATTCCTCGAGTTTAGAAGTGTCCTTTCCATCACTACACCCGCTCCCCACCACAGTCTGCGTCCCAGTTTCAACACTTTACCATGAAATCCTTAATAAAGAAAACGGTGTTAATAAAAAAAAGTTTCATATATTTTATTTTTAAAAGTGTGTTGGAAGGGGGGGAAAGGGGGTTGGTAACTGGAGAGGATAGTCAACATTAACTGGGTAGAGAAAGGAGGGCAGGTTCAGCTTCTGTTTAAACAAACGTAATAGTCACAGGTCACCCTGCTCACTCTGGAACCTAGCTTTCAAAGCTTCCCGGATGCACAGCGCGTCCGGCTGGGCTCTTCTAATCGCCCGGCTGGGCGTAATCAGCAGCCAGGCGATTTGTCTCAACCTCCCACCCTGCCATAAACGTCTCCCCCTTGCTCTCACAGAGATTGTGGAGCACACAGCAAGTTGCAATAACAATGGGGATATTGGTTTCGCTGAGATCAGAGCGAGTCAGTAAGCTTCTCCATCTCCCCTTCAGACGTCCAAAAGCACACTCCACCACCATTCTGCACTTGCTCAGATGGTAGTTGAAGAGTTCTTTTTCAGTGTCCAGGGCGCCTGTATAGGGCTTCATGAGCCAGGGCATTGGCGGGTAGGCTGGGTCCCCGAGGATCTCCACATCCCCCACAATTATTTTCTGGTCCGAGAAATAAATACCTTCCTGCAGCCGTCTAAACAGACCAGAGTTCCTGAAAACGCGAGCGTCACGAACCTTGCCCAGCCATCCGACGTTGATGTTGGTAAAACGTCCCCTATGGTCCACCAGTGCGTGCAGCACCATTGAAAAGTAGCCCTTTCTGTTAATGTACTGGCTGGCCTGCTGGTCCGGTCCCAGGATAGGGATGTGAGTTCCATCTATAGCCCCACCACAGTTTGGGAATCCCATCGCAGTGAAGCCATCTATGATCACCTGCACGTTTCCCCAGGGTCACTACCTTTGAGAGCAGTAGCTCAACGATTGCGTTGGCTATTTGCATCACAGCAACCCCCACGGTAGATTTGCCCACTCCAAATTGGTTCGCGACTGACCGGTAGCTGTCTGGCATTGCAAGCTTCCAGAGGGCTATGGCCACTCGCTTCTGGACAGTCAGGGCTGCTCACATCCGGGTGTCCTTGCGCTTCAGGGCAGGGGACAGCAACTCACAAAGTTCCAGGAAAGTTCCCTTACGCATCCGAAAGTTTCGCAGCCACTGTGATTCATCCCAGACCTGCAGCACTAGGCGGTCCCACCAGTCCGTGCTTGTTTCCCGGGCCCAGAATCGCCGTTCCACAGCATCAACATGACCCATTGCCACAATGATGTTCACGGCGCGGGGTCCCATGCTTTGTGAGAGGTCTGTGCCCCTCTCAGACTTAATGTCCTCACCGCGTTGCCATAGCCTCCTCGCCCGATTTCTCAGCATCTGCCTCTGAAAAAGGTGGATGATAAGGTGCGAGGTGTTGACAACGGCCATAACTGCAGCAATGATCGCAGAGGGCTCCATGCTCATGGTGCTGTGGCATCTGCGCTGTCAATCACCAGAAAAGTGCGCAAACTGATTGCCCGCCGGCGCTTTCACGGAGGGAGGGCGGGAGTGATGGCTGAATGACGACAGTTACCCAAAACCACCCTCGACACATTTTTTGCCCCAGCAGGCATTGGGGGCTCGACCCAGAATTCCTATGGGCAGCGGGGACTGGGGGAACTGTGGGATAGCTGCCCACAGTGCACCGCTTCCAGTGTCGACGCTTGCCCCGTTAGTGTAGACTCACAAAGTCGAATTACTGTCCTTAGTGTGGATACACACATTCGACTTTAATATCGGTTCCACAAATTCGCTTTAAGTAAAATCGAACTACTCTCGTAGTGTAGACATACCCTAACACTGTGTCTATACTGTCACTTTTAGCGCTAAAACTTTTGTCATTCAGGGGTGTGAAAAAACACACCCCTGAATGACAAAAGTTTTAGCACTGAAAAGCGGCAGTATAGACAGTGCTTTTCGCTGGGAGCCGCGCTCCCAGCAATAAAACTACCACCCCTCTTTTGGGGTGGGTTTTAAAAAAATTTGCCGGGAGAGCTCTCCCCAGCAATAAAGCGTGCCTACACTGCCCATGTCACAGCGCTGCTGCGGCAACGCTGTAACGTGGGCAGTGTAGACATACCTTAAGAAAAATTAGAAACACAAACTATCATATTCTTCCTTAGAACAAAGAAAGCTACAAATTCTCTTTTAAAGGAAGTTTACATTACCATTACAATCAAAATCACATTGCAAGGAAACTCCTTAAAATGCTAGTAGATTATTATTTAATTTTAAGTGTCACTTGCTGGATTCATACATCTGCCATTAATCATTAAATAAAAGCTTGGTGTTCTAATTCAATACATGTTACTGCAGAAATGTTTATTATGGCATTTCAAAAGCCATCAATTGAAAAAGGAGGGGCAGAAAAAACTACTATTCCAGAGTATCGGGTATCAGACTGTACATGATGTATATTTCATTTTGGAAAGTTTATTGCAGCTGATATAAAGGGAGTCCAGCTCCATATTACATATAGTGAAAAACAACATCCAGTACTTCTAGAAGAATGACAAACACATCCAGAAACACACTACTTGACATAAGCCAATAACAAATCTTACCAAATACAGATTCAGTAACCATGCACTAGGAGTGAAAACTAGAAGACACAAAGTACACTATAAAACCAGAGAGAAATAACTGTACAACCACTTCAACAGAGGAGAGATCGAAGCAGAAATGCACTTTCCAGTCCAAAGCCCAACATATGATATAGTATGCATGAAAATATTTCCTCAAATTATCAATAAGATTTTCCATTAAAAATCAAGGATGAAAAATTGTGCATAAATCTGTGAGAAAGAAAAGGGCCAACAGAGACAGCATCATGCTCTATAGCAACCTGCCACCTAATCAGAAACAATGACAAATGGACATGAGATAAAATCTTAAACATACTGTGAAGCCCTACCCTGGGCAGATATTCAATACAATGTAGCTGCCTCTGACAGAGGCCAGACTTCTGTTCTTTTTGAACCTTGACAACATTGGTGTAACTTGTCATATCAACTAAGTATTATAGAATTGAACAACAATTAATTTATGGAAAGACATCATTGTCACCAACAGAGGAAAAAAATTCACACTACAATCAAACATTTTTCACCACATATTTTCTAAAATGAAATCAAGTTATAATTCTGATATCTGTTGTGCTACAAAAAGCAATTATTAAAATGAAAAATTAACACATGATTATGATTTAATGAAACATATTAGTTCTATAATTGATTAATTCATTTAATGAATGGAAGGTGGAGCTTTTACTGCTATTGTGCCACTACAATTACTGTTATAAAAGATGCAAGAGGTGTTTTAAAATGCACAACTGCTTCCACATTAAAACAGACCCCTGAGGTTAGACACATTTGCAAGTCAAATACAATTCAAAAACTCTGTTCTTTCCTTAATCTGAGCATTTTATTTAATGTTGTATTACTGAATAAGTTATAATTTCTTTATACAAGTGTAGTTTCTTGTGATCCATTTACCATGCAATAAGTGAAATAGGTGAAATTTCATTTTAAAACGTCCACATTTATAAAATTACATTTTAATGTATTGTACTTTTACCAAATTCCTCATGTACCAAAGCTTTTGAAAATATATGAATGGTGAAAAAATGTTTAGATAAATAATAAAATTCTCACACTTAAGTGCACTTTGTAGGATAAAAAATAAATAGCATGTTTATTTAAGGTCCTTTCATTTACTGTACACAAGTTCTTACTATCCTCTTTAACTATTTTGTAGTTTTAAAATAAGAAAAGAATTCCTGAGTAAATATTTCTATATATAACTTTTTAGTAATGATATAGTTCTGACTTCAAATATTTAAATTTCAGTTCCCATCAAACCTATATGCTGAAAAAAAATCACCAAACTTTTACTCTCAGTATATAAATATTAAGCTATGACTAAATGAAATTTGAATTAATCTTCAACACATTGGAAGAAGGTAAGCTTTGTAGCCTGCAGACTTGTGCAGAAAGATCCAAATATGTACATAATATATAAACAGAAAAGAAAACCTATGCTTTTAAAATGAGCTAATCCTCTGAAAATCTGGAAAGAACTGATGTCCAGCAGTTAACCCTTTGCCTTCCTATTCCAAGTGACAATAAAATACGGTTTAAAATGGGGAGGGGGAAGAGGAGGGAAGTATTATTAAAGCAATGATTGGTTACCTTTAAAACTCTTTGCTTTCTCCTCTGAGGCCTTTTGTTTTCAGTTAGCACCTAAAAAAATATCAAATTGCAGAATAAAGTTTAACTTAAAAAATTAAATCCCCAATTTTATTAGAAAACTGTAATACTGTAAATACCCATAATGCTTTATATGCAGCATTTGAACTGATGGAGACTTTACACTGTAAAGTCACTGCAACCAAAACAAAAAGCTGTGCTATAAAAACGTAGCAGGGAAAGACCCTTTCCCCCCCTGAAAGTCTGCCTTAATTAGGCTCTGCATTCTTCACAGCAAAAACCCACGAGGTGGCCATCTTGCTTCCTTCTGCAGAGGAACCCTCTACAGTGTAACACTTCTTGAGGCTGCTTTTTGGGTATTATTATCATGGTGTTTAAAAGCAGCAGCCCCTGCCTGCCAACGCTGGGGACGTGCTGGGCATGCCTCTCGCAAAAAGAGCTCCAGAAAGGGCCCAGCCAATGGCAAGGCGAGGCCAGCCGCTCCAAACTGATCTTCCCTGCCTAGCCCTTCCTAAACAAAGGGTCTCCTATGTGGGCTTTGCTCTGAGCAGAGGACACAGGGCAGGCACAAGCTGCGACATGGATTCGCGGCGGCGGATCCGGCCCCGGCCCCGCGCGGCGCGCGCTGGAGAGGCTGAGCTCGCTTCCCCAGCGCAGCGCAGCGCCGCGGCCGGGCCGATATCCCCGCAGCAAGCGGTCTGGCCCGGCTCGCGTGTGGGGACGAGGCGACAAGCCTGGGTCGGCGTGAGGGGAGCCGGGCGGCGGCTTGGCCCCGCTCTTGCCGCCGGGGCTCAGGCAGCGGGCTCCGCTGAGCGCACCCCTCCCCCCGGGCAAGGTACGGCGCAGTTTGACTTTATAAGGCAAAGCTACATATTAGCGATATTGAAAGGAGGCGGAGGTGATGCGAGGACACAGCCCCAGGCTGGACAGGCCCCCGCTGGATGCAGCAGGCGCGTTGCCCACCACGCTTTGATGGGTGTCAATCACTGTCTGCTGCTGCCGGGGGCCGCGCGTTCCTTTGCTAACACCCCCGCCTCGCGTCCTGCGCTGGCTTGTGCCCTTGTGCTCAGCACGCTGCTGAGGTTTTATTTTTCAGGGAGTCTGTAAGGAGCAGCTCTCAGCTCGCTTGGGCCCCAGGCAGGCCCCCTCTCGGCGCACATCAGCTTTTATTCAATACTCCGTCTGCTTCCACTGTGTTTTTAATACATTATCTAATGAACAAAAACCGTCCCTGGATAGTGTAGGGAACAAACTGGATTAAGGACTCTAGCAAACTAGTTTCCACGTGTCCCAGCCACAGCGAGGGAGGTTTACAGACATCTCTCATTAGATTTAACATAAATCTATTTTTTTTTTAAAGGGAATCAGGTATTGCACAAAAACTAGGGCCTAGATCCAAAAACGCCTAACTTCTAACAAAGACTGGGATTGACCTCAGAGGGCTCTGGAACAGACTGGGTCTCATCAAGCCCAGTTGGACAATTATAATTTACTGTTTACTTAAAACTTCACTAAAGAATTTTCAGTAAATATGTCTCAGCCAGAAAATTGGCTGTACATTTGTGTACTGCCTCTGGAAATAAAGGGAAATTTACATCTGATAGTAGTTGCAGCAGAGAAGTGCCCCCATTTTGCATCTGCAGTTGAATAACATACAAATCCAAGTATATGCATGTCTAGCTACTTGATTGTGGGTGCAAATTAGGCAGCTACAGCTGTAAACATGGAGACTTGCACCACAATCCATTTTGAAATGTATCAGTTAAATTAGAGGTATTGTTGCTATTTGTTTATTGCATAATATTAGCTACCTGAACCCTAATTTGTTTTGATAGGACTGGGTGACATAAGGTATTCAAATTTAATGTTATGTTAAAATACATGTGGTAAACCATATTAAAAATTATAAAGATGTACATATGCAGTGGTTTAATTCTGTCTAGTACCCTCAGTTACCTAAGATTTTATGGTCCCGCAAAAATGTATTTTCATTTTTTTAGAGACAAGTGTTCACTTTTTTTAATTCAGGCAATCACATTAATTTGTGTGTGTGTAGCAAGAAATAGAACTGATAAGAGTGTAAGGTTAAGCAGAACCATCCTCCATCAGTTAAAAAAAGTTACCCACTATTACTAGAAGTAACATGTAAAATTATTCTGGCGGCAGGGGGAGAGAAATATACTATTTCCCTCTAGTTTGTTAGCTATGTGCATTTGAGAGTTCTTGGTGTACAATTAGTTTTGGGTTTCACTTTCCCCTGTTGTTTGTGTGGGTCTTTAACATAACAACAGGGAAAAAATATGTTTAACATAAAAAAAAATTAATTAACAAAAATGGCACAGAGGCTTAGAGGAAGGTTCAATGTTCAAACTATTTTTAAATCATTCTTTGAAAATGATTAGATATCAAGTTCACAGCTTCTATTTAATGAATACCCCCTCATCTTCAACACTCAGTACCACATAGAATACCAAACTAGTGTAAACTATAATTATTTTGCATGTACACTGAATGCCAAATCAAAGCAAGTTACACAACTTTGTCGCCTTGCCACTTGAGCATGATCTGCAACTTTACAGCACTGCTGAATTTTCCCTAGTAGATCCTACAACATTTCCAAACAACACAGACCTACATTGAGACTCAACAGCAACAAAACAAACTACTGAATGAAAGCAAATAACCTCTTTTGGTAGAGGATAGCTGTGAAATAACCCAAAATATCTATATTGCGTGCTGAAATGATACAGCAATTTGTATTAGAATAAAACCAAGACAAAATGTAAAAGGTACATATTCATAATAATTAATAAAGTGTTTCTGTAACATTTATTGTGAGATCTGTTAAATATAAAACCTTTATTGTATTTTTAAAAGCTTAGCATAGTATTTGTTAAATATAAAAAAAATTATATACCCTTTATCCTATATATTTGAGATTCTTTCCTTTGTACTGCCAACTCATAACAAAATGTCATGAATCCATCAAAATGAGGTGTATTACATAAAAACAATTGTATTACACATACAATCTATGAACTAGAGCCCACAATGCTTTAACCAGATTTTCATGATGTCATGTCTCTGCAAAATCCATTACATTACTCAAGGTAAAGTATTCCTGAAAGTTTATGTGGATGTTATTTCAAAAAGATGTATGCATGCCCAATATAGTTTTCAAATCTTATATCTCAATTATGTGCAAATTAATTAAAGTAACAGAATAGTAACTAATATTGGTTCCAAATGTGAAACGGATTCTCTCTAGGTTGATTGTGCATGCATAACGGCACTCAGATTTTAGACCTCAGTCATGGACTCTACCAGCTGGGTCTTGTTGTCTCCAAAGGTAAATCCATATATGATCTTAAAAGTCATTATTCCTTTGCGTTAAGCAAGGACAACTAACCCATGCTTTGTATCTTCAAAGACATATCCTGAAGTAATTCCACATGCAGACTTTCACGGATTTCAGTGTGCATTTTGTGCATGGTACAATGTAATTCTAGCACTTTGTCTAGTTGAAACTAGAAGGGAGAATCCTTCTTTTGAGGGGAAACATCTGGCACAAAATGTAGTTTAAGGATGAGAATAGCTATCCCCCTGCTCTCCAGTGCAAGAAAATACTCACATTCCACCTACATGAGGGACAGACCTATGACTCCTTGCAACCAGCAATCTACTGAAACTAGCCTGATTCCCTTCTTTAAAAAAAATATATTATTTTACTTTCTACACTCTGGACAGAGTCCTAAGGCATTTCTCAATTCCCTTCCACTTGAAAAACAAAACCTACTCCCAGAGCAGTCTTAAACCCTTCGCCAGCCAGGGATTCCCTTCTGAGCAGCTAACACTTCTATCTTATCTGAAAAGTAACTTTTGAGCATTGCAAAATACTGCTACCCCTCCCCCACTACCCTCCTCAGGACTCAGCTATACTACACTCCTAGACCCTGCCAGATTTTTATATTTCAGAAATACGTTCAATTTCTTTCTGTTTCTCAGACAATTTTGTGTTCTAGTAGGATTTGTTGTTTACAAATATTCAAAGTAAGAATCTCTGTATTTCATTCAAATATAATTTTACAAGAAATTATCCAATGGTGTGTTCCCAAAGGGCAGGAGTACACATTTTGCTCAATCCAGTCTTCTGAAACTTTACAAGGTGAAAAGTATTTTTTGCCATCTACTTGAAGAGGCAAGGAGGCCTTTTGGGTTGTAGTTTTAAAACAATTGGATATGCACAGTATAAAATATACCCCTTTTTTTCTAAAAGTACACCAGAAAATGAAACTGCTGGAGCAGAGGAACATAAAGGGAAAGGGGATATAATTAAGAAGGCAAAGAGGGGGCTTAAAGAAAAAGAGGTGAAGAAGCAAAGCAGGAATACAAAGAGAAGGTCAGATTATGCAAGAAGAAAATAAAAGAAAAGCATGTTTAGCCTGGAAAAAAAAGATTGACAGAAAAGCTGGAATTCATCCTTTCCTTGACCCTGCCTCTGCTAAAATCCTTTTTCATGCCTTAATCACCTTATTATCTCATCTCCTGCAATGCTCTCTTTTAAGGTCTTCCTGAGTCCATACTCATTAAAAATAAGGAAGAGCATAATGTTGCTGCTACATTACTCTTTTGCTGTAGGAAGCAGGGAGTTTCCCCATACTCCATCCTCTTCACTGGCTTGTTATTCATTGATCTTCAAATCAAATTCTAAATTGGCCTTGCCCGAATTTGTTTATTCCTTTTTTAAGTTCTCAGAAGGGGTCATGTGACACACATATAGTAAACCTCATTCACAGTGAACTCAGAGGCCAGCTATTTAATTTTTTTTATCCCCCACTCCAACATTATATAAAAACCACACACACATCACATTCATCCACTGGTGTAAGGATTTTCTGCCTACTTGCCTACTCTGAAGAAATGGAACTGACATATCTGTAAATCTTGTAGGTTGTGGGGTGGAGACATACAATAGAAGTTTTCCCAGGGCACTGTCATCTATCCTAAACTCATGCTTGATGCAAGAGTCAAAACTGGCTTTACCCTACCTTTCTGCCTCCTCCAACTTTGGGGCTGGCCAGAGGTGGAATTGGTCCCCACCACAAGTAGAGTAACTTCAAGCCTACTTTAACTTACACCAACTGGAACAGTTCTCTAGTGACTATACTACAGCCCAAGAAAAATTGTAAGTATCCCCTCCTTTCCCCTACACCAGGGATGGGGGGAGTAACGTGGCATAAAGCTATCTATGCCAAATTTATACCAGCAGAGCATTCTACATCCAGGGAATCCTCAACTTCCCTTTAGGGTTGGTTTAAAAGTCCTTTCACATTATTCCAGCAGCACAAAGGGACCTTAGCAGGATCTGAAAATTTGGCCCAGAGATTTGATTGTCTCTCACTTTCAATTTTTTTCCTCTCTCTTTTTACACTGAGAAAAAAAACAAGTGAAAGGTGGTATTTTCCCCCAACAAAACAATACATTGTTTAGAATTTTTTTTGTTGAAACATTAAAAATTGCATGAAAAAAATCAAATATACATATTTTAAAATTTTCACAAAATAAAAACTTATCTGTTTTTAATTAGCTATACTTATGCAGTACAGAGGAGATGGAGGTGGGTATCCGCGGATCATTTTTAGCAAATTTTGTATCCACGTAGGGCTCTAGTGGTGGGATCAGCTGATGGGGGCAGGATGCTAGTGGGCAGAGGATAGATTGGGAGCAGATGACTGGAGAGAATAGGTGGGGGTAGTGAGATCATGTATTAGAGTCAGAGGATTTATAAGAGACCGATAATTCATGGGGCTAGAGGAGTAGAGGAAGTTCAGGGGACAAACGATGGATGGATTAAGGGGGTTCAATTGTGAGGGAGGATGGAACAGGGGGATGAAGAGAAAAGACAGAGATTGAGAGCCTCCAGAAACAGCAGAAGGCTTTAAGCATGTTTGGGGAGTGGAGAACAGAAACTTGTGAGAGGGATGAGCAAGACGACAGACCACTGGAACTGAAAGAGCATAGAGGGAACAGAACAGGGACCAGAGAGGAGATTAGGGGTATAAAGAATATATGGGTAGGATGAGGTATGAGACCTGGCTGAGTAACCAGGAATGAATTAGATGCAAGAAACAAAGGGACAGGCAATTAGAAAGAAGGAGAGATTTAGAGGGAGAATGCAAATAGAATATGGAGCCAGGGGGGGTTTGTTGTAGTTTTGTTCGTATTTTATTTATTACCAACCAGTTTTTCTAGAATTCCAAATACAGAGCAGGCTACCCCTGTCCTAAAATCCAGGCATTTGCACCTGGTATTTCACAATGTGGTGAAGGATGATCCAGCCCACCTCAAACCCTCCACTTAAATCTTTATTGCTTTCTCCGGCCCCTGATTAGTTTAACTATCTCTGGGCCTACTTTTTCACATTGGCCAATGTGATCAGATTTGCAGCAGACTAAAAGTTATGCCCACCTCTAGTTATATGAATGCATGTGGTATGAGCAACAGAAACACTAGCTCACTCTAATCTTCAAGGCTTATAACTGGGGAAGTATATTCAATTGTTATGGTTAAATTTTATCTAATATGTTGTCCAAATCTACACAATAACTAATATTTTTAAGAATTTTACAAATGGACCTCAAATCTTACGTAGGTGTATTGTTTCTGTTTCTTGCTTACCTCAAAAGGTAGCATTATTGGCGGTGGCGGCTTTTTCAGTTCTTCACATTTTCTCTTTTTACATATCCGGTGACTAGTTTTGCGTTTCCTGCAACAGCTGCATTCCTCACAATTAGTTTTCCGCAGACAAGGTTCACATACCCCACACCGTCTTCGTTTCTTTTTTTCTAACATAGGGAGCAAAGATGAATATGAGAGAGGGTAACTGTAAACTGGGTTTGTAAAGGTGGATGGTTCCGAAGCCTCAGCAGAACCAATGCTATTGCTCCTGTTGTCCTGAACTGAGTTCAAGTTTATTCCAACACTTCCTGATTGTGATGAAGAATCCTTATACCGCAGTTTTGAATCAGTTGGTGAATGCACATTTATCTCTCTGTCAGAGGTAAGAGTGGAACTTCCTGTGTTTGAGGACAACCCTGAAATAGAGCCTTCAGAGGAATGTCCAGTATTTTCTTTGAAGACCGCAGTTGTTGTAGAGATTAAGGCTTCTGTGCTTTTTTCTGTGTTTGATGATGAAATAGGGACATAACCTGAGTCCAGAACTAAAGTTTCTTTACCAATGTAATTAACAGGCTGCTGCACTGCAAGATTAACTGGTTCACAAACTGTGACCAGATTTTTTGTGTCAGATTCTGAATCATCTCTTTTACAGCACAAGTCAGAATTTGAGTCAGGTTCTTTATTAACAGGCACCAAATCCAAGTTGGTTTTTATATGGGATCCAACAAACGAGCCCAAATCTTCTAAATATATGATAGAATTTGATTCAGTGGTAACTAAAGAAGCAGAATTTGAAGTGGGTTCTTTATTAACAGGCTTCAAATCTAAGTTCATCTTTACATGGGATTCTGCAAATGAGCCTGAATCTTCTAAATGGTCTTTTGTATTTAATTCAGAGGTGATTATAGAGTCAGAATGAAAAGGTGTGGGAACAAGCTCAGAATTCTGAGCAAAACTTTCATCTGAGCTACCTGTATTGATCTTACTTGATGTCCACCCACAGGGCGGCTCTTCACACTCATACTCCTCCTCTAATACTTCTGGATTGTAAATGCTTGGTAGACTCTTTGAAGTGGAGACACTTGATTCAGGTCTCCCTATCTTTTTGTCTTGACTATCACATTTAATGGAGGAGGGCTCAATGTCTGTATCACACAGAATGTTGAGAGGAGTTAATTCATTTTGTGCTGAATCTTGTTTCAAAACCCTTTCATCAGCTTCAACTTTTTTTTCGTCCAATATAGTAAGGGTTTTTTCTAATCTTTTCTGTGCTGTAACTTTCTTGGGTTTTGTAATTACTGCAGTTTGGGACAGTCTATGGGAGAATGATCTGCTACGAAGAGACATTGTAAAGCCATTGACGTTTAAAGAATCCTGGTTATGAAGGAGAATATTATCTGTTTTCTCCATATTTACCCAAGATGTTCCAGATAAAGCTCTAGTTACACTACTCCTGAGAAATCTAACTGATGAGCTCAAAGGTGGTTTCTTTTCTTGTTGCTTTTTCTTTACATCATTTTTTTCTTGGATTGACTTTTTGCATTTTCCAGAACTCACAGACTTTTTGGAATTCTTCTTGGCTTTCTTTTTCACTTGGCTGGATTTCTTTTTGCCTTCACTAGTTTTCCTTTTGCCTAACGCTTCCTTTTTGACTAATCTGGAAGGTCTGGCGTGGTGAGCCATGTCTATCAAGTAGTTGATATGTAAAAGGAGTAGTGGAAAAAATCATGGGCTCTTGAAGGAATTTTTCACTTCAGTAGAAAATTGCATACTCTTATTGCTGTTCTCTGTCATAATACAGAGTTGAATCTGAAATAAAAAAAGTTTAAGATTTTTTAAATTTAATCATAAAAGTCTGTATATCAATATTATATTAAAGTCTCAGTTAATGCTAAATATTTAAAACACTGAGGCAAAAATAGGAATATTTGAGTTTTATCAAATATTAACATCTTATTAACAGAGCACCCTTTTAATTTGCATATACTCTATAGTCCTTTCAAAGTGGGAATCTTGCTAAAGTGGACAAAGAGCAAAAGACCAAGGAAACTTCACACTTTACTGACTCATTATTTGTACACAAATATATAAAAGAAGCCTCAGTTCACTTCAACTTGTTTCAAGTTAATTAACAGCCCTCCTCCCCCATATGATTCAGGACAAGAGTGTGCCTGATTACATGTGGCTGCACAGAGGATTAAGACCTACCTCCATAAGGCCATATAGGACCTACTCTTATCACGCCTCAGGAACAGATCACCTAATACACACATCTGCCCACCCCAAAGAAGCAGCCAGAGAGAGCTACTGCTTCTCCACCCACATGCTGGCCAGTAGACTTGGCCAGGTGAAAGGTGAGGGAAGTAACCTGTATCTAGAAAGGGGTATTCTAAGTTACTTTTCCTCCCCCGAGCCGGAGAAGAGCAGGAGCGGAACTGGGATTCTGAGTCACAATTCCTTCTGGGATGGTGTAACTACATATTGCACCATAATCAGCGCTAAGCCTAAAGCACACAGTCTTGCTGTCAGTGTCACATAAATACGTTATGTAGGTAGTGGTCACTGCTCCACAGACGTTAAGGTTGTTGCCGCCAATATTCAATGTAAGGCTTATCCTGCCTTCCCAATCTCCCATAACTTTTAATTTTAAGGAACTCCTGGTCTGAAGTTTTCCGTAATAAATGCAAGTCTGATTTTTAGATCAGAATTGTTTAGGGGACAGAGTCAATATACATCTATATTTTTATCGGGCTGTCAAGCAATTAAAAAAATTAATTGCAATTAATTGTGCAATTAAAAAATTTAATCGTGATTAATCGCACTGTTAAACAATAATAGAATAGCATTTATTTAAATATTTTTGGGTATTTTCTACATTTTCAGATATATTGATTTCAATTACAGAACAGAATACAAAATGTACAGAGCTCACTTTATATTTATTTTTGATTACAAGTAGTTGCACTGTAAAAAACAAAATAAAGTTGTTGTTTTTTCAAATCACCTAATACAAGTACTATATTGCAATCTCTTTATCATGAAAGTTGAATTTACAAATGTAGACTTGTGTACAAAAAACTGCATTCAAAAATAAAACGATGTAAAATTTTAGAGCTTGCAAGTCCACTCAATCCTACTTCTTGTTCACCAATCGCTCAGACAAACAAGTTTGTTTATATTTGCAGGAGATAATGCTGCCCGCTTCTCATGGCACTGTTGTAGCCAGCATTGCAAGATATTTACGTGCCAGATGCACTAAAGATTCATATGTCCCTTCATGTTTCAACCACCATTCCAGTGGACATGCGTCCATGCTGATGACGGATTCTGCTTGATAACAATCCAAAACAGTGCGGACCGACGCATGTTCATTTTCATTATCTGAGTCAGATGCCACCAGCAGAAAGTTGCTTTTCTTTTTTGGTGGTTCGGGTTCTATAGTTTCTGCATCAGAGTGTTGCTCTTTTAAGACTTCTGAAAGCATGCTCCACACCTCGTCCCTCTCAGATTTTGGAAGGAACTTCAGATTCTTAACCTTGAGTCGAGTGCTGTAGCTATCTTTAGAAATCTCACGTTGGTACTTTCTTTGCGTTTTGTCAAATCTGCAGTGAAAGTGCTCTTAAAATGAACAACATGTGTTGGGTCATCATCCTGGACTGCTATAACATGAAATATATGGCAGAATGCGGGTAAAATACAGCAGGAGACCTACAATTTCCCCCCCAAGGAGTTCAATCACAAATTTAATTAATATTATTTTTTTAACAAGCATGTCCTCTGGAATGGTGGCTGAATCATGAAGGGGCATTCAAATGTTTAGCATATCTGGCACGTAAATACCTTGCAATGCCAGCTACAAAAGTGCCACGCCTGTTCTCACTTTCTGGTGACATATTGTAAATAAGAAGAGGGCAGCATTATCTCCTGTAAATGTAAACAAACTTGTTTGTCTTGGCGATTGGCTGAACAAGAAGTAGGACTGAGTGCACTTGGAGGCTCTGAAGTTTTACATTGTTTTGTTTGAGTGCTAAATTTAATTTAAAAAATAGAAATTAAATAAAAAAACTTTATTATATGAACATTAAGGTTAAGTTAAACTCAGAGAGGCAGTGGTATGATGAATAGAGAACTTGTCAGGAGACGTGGGTTCTTTCCCATCTCTGCCATGAACTTGCTACATGACCTTTGGCAAGTCACTTCGCTTCTCTGTCTTTCTGTTTTCCCTCCTGCCCTTTGTCTGTATTATCTATTTAGACTAATTTGGGGGGGGACAGGGATTTGTCTCTTCCCATAGGTTTCAACAGTGCCTTTCACACCCAGTGCTACTGTAATGCAAATGTTGCTAAGGGGAATTCAAGAAAAGACATCTTTAAACTAGAGTTGTCAATTAATTGCAGTTAAAGCCTGCTATTAACTGAAAACAAAATTAATTCAATTTTTTTAACTGCATTAATCGCGTACCTCTGAGCGAGGTATTGGCTGCAGAGGGATCGGACAGCCTCGGGTCAGGTGTAAATCTGCCTCCAGAGTGTGGGAAGAGAAGAGGAAGTGCCTCCCATCCCGGCTCTGATGGAGAGATAGGGATCCTGATCCCGCCATGCCCCAATGCCCCAGCCTGCCCCTCATTCTAGGGACCAACCCACCCCATGTCCCATTGCCCCCAGCCAGCCCCTCGCTCCAGGGACCAACCCCTCCCCCCAGTACCATGTCTCATTGCCCCCAGCCGACCCCCTCGCTCCGGGAGGTACCCCATAGAGAATAGGGGCCTGGCGAGCTTAGCCTCCCTGAACCAGCCTCTCCTCCCCTGCCGCATGCCAGTCCCTGAGGTAAAATCTACCCTCCCTTGCAAACAAGGGCTCGCTCAGCTGAAGGGAGTCCACCAGTGTTTAATTCAGCCCCGGCAGCTCTGGGCTTACTGCATCAGCTATGAATGTAAAAAAATTGCTTGATACCCGGCACCTAATTGCCTGATCTCCAATACCTCTTTCATTACAAATTAAGCCCCCCTAGCTCAGTAAAAAGAGGCAATCCTGGTGAGCCCAGTAACGGAAAGCAGCCTTCCAGAAGCAAGACACCTCCCTCACCCTCCTCCTGCACAAGTCATTGCTAGCTCCCCATCCCCAATCACTGAATGCAGATTTCTAAGATGAAACTCTCTTCCTCTTCAGGCAGTAGGTGGGCCTGGCGAGCTCAGAAACCCAACCCAAGAGGAGCAGCATCAAGAATTCACCCTTCTCCTGCACAACTCACACCACTCCCATCTCCAAAATATTGACTTTCTGAGATAAAAATATCTTACCCCTTCAATAAGCCAAAACGCCTCTAAAAGGAGGAACAAGAACTAGGACTGAGTGGACTTCTGGCTCTGAAGTTTTACATTGTTTTGAGTGCACTTATGTAAAAACAAAACAAAAAATAATTCTACATTTGTAAATTCAACTTTCATGATAAAAAGATTGCACTACAGTACTTGTATGATGTGAATTGAAATGCTATTTCTTTTCTCTTTTTTACAGTGCAAATATTTGTAATAAAAATAATATAAAGTGAACACTGTATACTTTGTATTGTGTTGTAATTGAAATCAATATATTTTAAAATATACAGAACATCCAAACACATTTAAATACATGGTATTCTATTAATGTTTAACAGTGCAAATAAAACTCTGATTAATCCCAATTAATTTTTTAATGGCTTGGCAGCCCTACTTTAAACCCATTCTTTAAAAAAAAAAAATCTCAACTATATAGTGTGGAAATGACAAACTAAGATTGCTTAAACCAGGGGTAGGCAACCTATGGCACGTGTGCCGAAGGCGGCACGCAAGCTGATTTTCAGTGGCACTCACACTGCCCAGGTCCTGGCCACCAGTCCGGGGGGCTCTGCATATTAATTTAATTTTAAATGAAGCTTCTTAAACATTTTAAAAACCTTATTTACTTTACATACAACAATAGTTTAATTATATATTATTGACTTATAGAAAGAGACCTTCCAAAAATATTAAAATGTATTACCGGCACGCAAAACCTTAAATTAGAGTGGAGAAATAAAGATTCGGCACACCACTTCTGAAAGGTTGCCAACCCCTGACTTAAACAGTGCTGACACCAACCTTAACATTTAGTTAATGGACAGACTATTAAACAGAAATATCCCAATGAGCAACCAAATATGCTCAACTCTGCCCTTGTAAAAGAACGTACACAATAACTACAAAGTCTATATAAACATTATCTATTCATCACATAGTTCTGTCTTAGAATGGTACATAAAAACTGTAATAACTTATTCTTATGTATACAATGGTTGTAAAATGCCTAGTCTTTCATACTACCTTACACAATCCACAACAATCAAAGATACGTTAACACTTCAAGAGTACTTGTATCATCTATGTAATATAAATTTACAGGGTTTTAGTTGTGATAATCAGTGATTTTCAACCTTTTTTCATTTGCAGATGGGGTGCTGGAACAATTTTTATAGTGGGGGTGCTGTGAGACACTGAATCAAACTGTAAACCCTGGATATAATGGAAACTACTTCAAGCCAGGGGGTGCGACAGCACCTCTAGTTCCAGCACCTAAGTTTGTGGAACCCTAAATTTTTGAATGGAGGTGGAAATCTTAGGTTGAAAACCACTATTCTATGGTAATGACTACCTTTCGCAGACCCCTTAGACACAATCTGCAGACCCCAAGTTGAGAACCATTGTGATAAATCACCCATCTCCACGGTATATAAGCACATCCAAATATCAGTCTTTTACTGATAAAATAGTTCTATGTCAGGGGTCTCAAACTCAAATGACCACGAGGGCCACATGAGGACTAGTACATTGGCCGAGGGCCGCATTATTGACACCTCTCCCCCGCCACCCTTGGCCCCGCCCCCACTCCACCCCTTACATGAGGCCCTGCCCCCATTCCAACCCCTTCCCTGAAATCCCCACCCCCAACTCTGCCCCCTTCCTGCCCCCAGGGAGGGCAGGAGGGGTGTGGGGCTCAGGGCAGGGAGTTGGGGTGTGGGCTGCAGGAGGGGTGCGGGGTAGAGCAGGGGGTTGGGCTGCAGGAGGGGCTCGGGGGGTGGGCTCCGGCCCGACACGCACCGGTGGTGGGGCAGGCCGCCTGCCTGCCTGTCCCCCCACCACTCCGGAAAGTGTCTGGAACCTGGGGAGGAGGGGTACAGGGGTCTGTGTGTTGCTGTTGCTTCAGGCACCACCCCCAGCAGCTCCCATTGGCCGGGAACGGGGAACTGCGGCCAATGGGAGCTGCTGGGGGCGCTGCCTGAAGCAAGAGCAACACACAGAGCCCTGTGCTCCCCCTTCCCCATGTTCCGGCTGCTTCCCGGAGCAGCAGGGGGCAGGGCAGGCAGGGAGCCTGCCCTGCCCCCAGTGCGCGTCGGGCTGGAGCCGCTCTAGGTAAAAGCTGGGGGGGGCCGTGAGGAGCTCGCGGGCCGCAGAAAACAACCCCGTGGGCCGCATGCAGCCCCCAGGCCGCGTGTTTGAGACCCCTGTTCTATGTACACCTAATGAAGCAAACATAATGAAACAAATTTACCATATGAACATAGGCTAAACATATCCCAAATCATCAAAATACGTCCACTATATTAAAACAGAAACCGCATTCCTGTCATAGCAAGCCATTAAACATGATGCTAGAATAAATAATATACACATATGCTCAATTACCCACATCTTATGTTAAAAAGGCATATAAGCAGTCCAGGACCCAACAAAATTAGAACACTACCATTGCTTTCAGTGGAAGTTGGTTCAGACCCTGAAATAGCAACATAAATCCAGAATTGGAGTTGAGGTTGTTTGAATGCTGGTGATAGAGAATTTTTTTGTTTGACTGCATGATCTGAGTTTCAAGACTAACTGCTTACGTCAGCAGATCCCAAAGCACGGTCAATGAAGCACTTGCAAGTAGTTTGCAGAAAGCTAGCTAATTAATCACAAGGTCCTGGCTCTCCCCTAGTTTCCAACAGCTTTTGCAAGCCTCCAGGCTATTTGGTTCAATCAAGAGCCCAGACTCATAGAAGCAGTTTGAAACAAGGAGCAGGCAGCATGTCTGTTGCCCTTAGCGGCCAGCGCTCTACACAGTAGTAGTAAAAGAAATACAAGCTACTTTCAGGGACCTGAGTTGTCAGCCACTAGTGTCAGAGGGATGTCCGGGGGGGGGAAGAGAACAAGCCCAGCAGGAACTAAGTCCAATGAACCAAGGGAGAAGGAAACTGAACAGAAAAGGAGCATGTACAAGGAGAGAGGACTGAACAAGATGTAAGTATGTGCCGGAATGCTGGAGCAACTTTTATAGTCGGGGTGCTGAGAGCCATTGAACCAAACTGTAAACCTTGTATATGACAGAAACCACTTCAAGCCAGGAGGTGCGGCAGCACCCCGAGCTCCAGCACCCAAGATTATGTGAATGAGGAGGAGACCAGGCAACACAGAAGCTTTTTCAGAGGATCACTGGGCAACAGAGAGGAACAGAAGAGAGGGGGAGGGAGACGGAGAGATAAAAGAAGAGCAGAATTCAGTGAATTCTGAACTCATATTTAAGACACTGAAAATGTATGAACAGTTTTCCACAAAAGCAGTGTCTGTAGTTGTCACAGGGATATTATGAGATCCTGAAAGGTGGGACATAGTCTCCAAGATAATCTCTCTATTAAAAGGTATTCCACAATTTAAAAAAGTTTGAGATCTGGTTTATATAACTTAAACATTAAAAAGTATGGAAATTACAAGCTTAACAGTAAACTTAGGCTGACCAGCTCTACAGAGTTTGATCCTCCTACAAGTCTATAGGGAAAGCTATAGAGGAAGAAATATTTCATTCATCTACAGAGTATTTATTCATCTACGGAGGAAGTAGTATTTTATTATTGTTTACCCCCTTCTAAGGCCTCGTCTACACTTAAACATAGCTGTGTAGGTAAGGGATCTGATTTTTACTGAGATAGTTATACCAGCACAAGCCCTAGTCTAGATGCAGTTCCACTGATATAAGCATTCTTTCACTGCTATATCGGTCTACAGAGGGGTGGGATTTGGGGTTTGCTGCTTTCATGATGACAGCAAAGATAAAGTGGCAAAATGTTTAAGTACAGACAAGGCCTAAGTGGCTGCCTACCCCATTCCTCTGCAACCAATCAAAGCTGGCTGGATATATTGAGGGGACTGCCTGATACCACAGCATGTGTAGTAACCAATACCCCACACACATACATGCTGTTTGTTTTTTTAAAAGAGCTGCAAGAATTCCCTTCCCCCTTACAGCCAGATACTTTGGACTAACTCTGCATCTCCTCCTCCCCCCACTCCCACTAGTGTAGAATGTGAGAGAGGACTCCAGGGTTAACTTTCTGAGGGCTGGAGGGGTGCGTGAAGATCTCAGTTTATCTCCCTTGCTGCAGCTGCTCAGTGGGGGAGGCTCAGACTACTGTTTTGCACTCATGCACACCCCAATCACCACTTCAAGAGAGTTCAGGCTAGATACTCCATCATTTTGCATGGGACCAAGACAAGAAGATTTCAGTGTGTTCCTCTTTGCAAAGATTCTGCTGAGGAAGGAGAGAAAAGCCAAGAGACCCACACCTCTCCCATTTCTTGAAGGCAAACAAGGGAAGATTCTAAAAATAAAAGATCATGGAAAAAAGGCTTAAAATGCCCACAGTAGGGGGTAGGGGACAGAAGGTGAAATGCTGCAGGTTTGATGTGGGGAAAGAGTTAAATGGTGGAGGGGAGGGGGGGAATTATGAAATGCTGGGATGGGAAGGAGAACAGAATGAGAAGTGAGGGGTGGGGGAATTCAGGGATGAAATGCTTGGGTGAGGAATATAAAGAGGGAGCAAAGGATTAAATGTTGTGTGGAGAGGAGGTGAGATGATAAAATAGTGGGGGAGGAAGAAGCAAACACAAACAATGGGATGGTCAGTAAAAAGTGATGAACTGGAGGGTAGAAGTGGTCTATCTGGGAAAGAGCAAGCCAGAAGTAATTGATATTTCCGAACAGAAGTGGACTTGAATTGTTAGAAGGGGTATGTTGGGACAAGCGGAGAATGGATTGGGGAAGGAGGAACACATCCAAGACTGGACTGTGAAGGACAACAAAGGGCAACACACTCTCATGCAAGAGGAGAGGAATTAGAAATTTCTGCCCCACTAGGACTGCCTACACCCACTTCCTAGGATTGCCAGATATCCAGTTTTCAAGCAGAACGCCAGATCAAAAAGGGACCCTGGCGTCTCTGGTCAGCACAGCTAACCGGGCTATTAAAAATCCAGTTGACGGGGTTGGCAGGCTCCTTACCTGGCTCCGTGTGGTTCATGGAAGTGGCAACACGTCCCTCTAGCTCCCAGGTGCAAGGGCGGCCGGGGGGCTCTGCATGCTGCCCCCGCTTTGTGCACCGGCTCAGCAGCTCCCATTGGCCAGGAACCGCAGCCAATGGGAGCTGCGGGGGCAGCGCCTGCATGCGGAGGTAGTGTGGTACGTGCACCACCCAGAGCCACCTGGCCACCCCATGCCTAGGAGCCGAGGAACATGTTGCCGCTTCCAGGGAGCCGCCCAAGGTAAGCGCTGCCCAGAGCCCAAACCCCCTCCAGCACCCCAACTCCCTGCCCAACTCAAGCCCCCTCACACCCTGAACCCCTCATTTCTGGCCCCAACCTGGCCCCCAGCCCAGACCCTCCAACACCCTGCCTCAGCCTCCTCCCACACTCCAAACCTCTCAGCTTCACTTCCCAGCCCGGAGCCCCCTCCTGTGCCCCAAACACCTCATCCCCAGTCCCACCCCAGAGCCTGCACCCCCAGCCAAAGCCCTTACCCCCTCCTGTACCCCAACCCCCTGCCCAGCCCGGTAAAAATGAGCAAGTGAGTGAGGGGAGGAGAGAGTGAGCAACAGAGGGAGGGGGAATGGAGTGAGTGGGGGCGGTGCCTCAGAGAAAGGGCAGGGCCTCAGAGATGGGGCAGGGGCAGGGCAAAGGTGTTCAGTTTTGTGCAATTAGAAAGTTGGCAATCCTACCACTTCCTGCTATCAGACCATTGGGAAAGAAACTGGCACATGCTCCTCAAACCACCAGGGCCCCTACTAGCAGCCAGTGCCCACACCGAGGGAGGAGCTGGAAAATCCTGCACATTCAGCAAGTGATAGTGATACAGTAGAACCTCAGAGTTATGAGCATCTTGGGAATGGAGGTTGTTCGGAACTCTGAAATGTTCGCAACTCTGAACAAAATGTTATGGTTGTTCTTTCAAAAGTTTACAACTGAATATTGTTTCAAAGCTGTATTAAGTCTTTACTATGCAGAAGAAAAATGCTGCTTTTAACCATCTTAATATTAATGAAACAAGCACAGAAACAGTTTCCTTACCTTGTCAACAAAATTTTAAACGTTTCCTTTATTTTTTTAGTAGTTTACGTTTAACACAGTACTGTACAGTATTTGCTTTATTTATTTATTTATTTAGGTCTCTGCTGCTGCCTGATTGCATACTTCCTGTTCCAAATTAGGTGTGTGGTTGACTGGTTAGTTCATAACTCTGGTGTTTGTGACCCTGAGGTTCTACTGTCAACAAATGTTTACAAATTCATATTCCTCTGGTTTATTGCCAGATGTCACATATGTAAACGTGATTTATAATTATTTCTGTTTAATGATCTGGTGTTTTGAGTAAGCACAGATTAGGGATTTTTTTTTATGCATAAGGTTTTATTTTAACCTGACAGTGTTCCTTGCACTGCATTAGTGACTCTCCCTTTTCCAGCAATGAGCTAGAGACAACTCATCCAATGCTGTTCCTTGCCTCAGATAAAAGTGTCTCATGGAGAGTGGCATATGGCATGACCTCTCAAGGGCAATTTAATGTAACTTTACATCATCTTAACTTTTGTAGCAGGTAAACAATCTAATTTCAAAATGTTTACACTAATTAGTCAATGTCCAAATATAATGGGTCAGTCTAACAAATTGTCAGTTTTAGGACCATGCACAGAGATGTAAAACTATTCTGCTGACTCACCTGGCAGACAAGACCAGATGGGTCCTATTGTCTCCATTCCAGGAGCAGTAAAGGGCTTGAGTCTGAAGTAGAAGGAACTAGAATGGGAACAGAGGGTCCTGTAGAGAACCATTCTAGAATAGACCACTACAGGTTGAAGCTGGTTTGTTATTTACATTAAAAATAAAGGGGAAAAAGGAATGGTTTAAGTTTTAACTATATCCTTTCCTTGTGTACTATGCTAGGAGCAAATGCCAGATACTTACAATTATAGTCTGCTCTTCTTTATACTAGTATAAATGTGGAATGATTCCACTGATTTAAATAATGCCCCATATATAAATATAACAATGCTATGAAGCTAACCAAGAGCTAATTCTTCTAGTCCTTACTTAGGCAAAACTCCTATTGAGTTCCATGGGAGTTCTGTTTGAGCAGCAGTTGCTGGATTTGCCCCCAAATCACGGGCAAGCTGTTACAAAGCCATATATTTTTGAATTTACTTTAATTCTTCATATAATATAAATATAAAAAATCCTCCACATACTATTTTCTTTATACTTGAGTATTTTAGAAGTAGTATGTTTGTTTATGACACTCATGTTTTTCTAATAGAATCTTTTAAGAGGAGAAAGAGAAATTGGAAGCATTTAAAAAGATGTAGGTTCTTTAAATTATAGCAGTCTTTTAATTACATCATGAAAGAGAGCAGTGACCCCTCAAAAACACATCTGCAAGGGAGAAAACAATGTGTACCATTCAGGCAAATAACCAGAAACAATCACAAACAATGTAAGGACTAGGTTAGGACCCTAATTTTACCATGCTTGGATGCACTAATGAAACAACATTTTGTTTCTGTGTATACATATGTTTTTAAAAGTCAGAGCTTTGCATGATGGGGAAAAAATACCTAGGAAACTTTCATATAAACTATCTTTTAAAAATCCAGGTACATAGTATTATGGACCAAATTCAGATTTAGGAACCTAGGAGTTGCCATCCTGGATCAAACCAAAGGTCCATCTAGCTCAGTATTTTGTCTCCAATAGTGACCAGCACCAGACGCTTCAGAGGAAGATGTAAGAATTCTGCAATACATAAAAAAAGCCATACTGGGTCAGACCAAAGGTCTATCTAGCTCAGTATCCTGTCTTCTGACAGTGGCCAATGCCAGGAGCCCCAGAGGGAATGAACAGAACAGGTAATCATCAAGTGATCCATCATTTGTTGCCTATTCCCAGTAAGCAGATGTGGGAAAATCGGCCCTCACATTATATCTCAAGCTAATTTCTAGCAGTTAGCAACTGGCTGAAGCCCCAAAGCATATGGTTTTGATATCCTTTCCAAGACTTTTGTTGGCATTTAGTATCACTCTGGATGTTCTTGTTACTGTTAGCCATATCAATGTCAAATCTCTTTTTAAATCTTGCTAAAGTCTTGACTTCAACCTAATGTGGCAATGAGTTCCACAGTCTAATTATGTCCAGGAGTAGTGGTGGTGAAGCGTTTTTTCCTTTTTATCAATTTTGAATTTGCTATCTTCTAATTTAATTGACTGTCCCCTTGCTCTTGTGTTCGAGACAGGGAGAACAGAAGCTCTTGATCTGTCTTCTCAGTACCAGTCATTATTATGTCTCCTTTCATTAGTTTCTTTTCCTAAGGTAAACAATCCCAATCCGTTCAGGCTCTCTTCTTATGAGTTTTTCATGCCCCTAGCTATACTCGTTACCCTTCTCTGAACCTCTTCTAATTCTGCAATATTCTGTTTGAGATGGGATGACCAGTCCTTCATAGTATTCCAGATGAGGCTTCATCACTGACTTACATCATGACATAATAATTTCCCCATATTATTCTCCATGAATACACCAGATTTGGTGTAAGCAGCCAAATCTGAATTTGTTCCTAAAATGTCTAATAGTGTAACTGCAGAAATTGGTTAATTAAACTGTTTACAGACTTTACTGTGTGCACAATGAATGAAGCACTGTGGGCAATGTGCACTGATGAATCAATCCTTCTCCCATAAAATCCATGGCAAAAAATAACTTTGGCAGATGCTAGATCAGACACCAAAGTCCTGATCCCGAAATCTGTTCTGCCCTGATGCAAAGGTCTACCATGTGGAGCAGCTTGTAGGATCACATCCTGGGTGAGGCAAGGCTGCTTGATTCCTGGCTCAATCCTCCAAACTGCTGAGCACCTTTAATTCTGCAGGACTTCAATAGGAGATATGGGCACTTAGCATTTTGCAAGATTTAATGCCCTCAATCCACAATTTACAGTATGCACAGTGAATGAGACTGATAACCACGCTTGTCAATATTTTGAAAATAAGACCATAAAAAGCCTTCACAATTTTAGCTAAATAGGTATGAATGATAAAAAGGTTGGAAGACATGACAGCTAGATGGTGCCACAAGAACAAAAAAACCCTCTTAAATATTGGCATAAAATCATTTTAAAATGTGTACACTTTGTGTGCATGGCCTGGTGCATTCTCACAAGAGGTGTGCAGCTCTGCCTTATTCCATGTTCAGTACAGTCAACCTTTGCTCCTAATGTTGTGAAATTGTACTAAAAAATGGTACCAACTGCTCTATTGGCCCAAAGTAACTTTTAAAGGCGCATCACTCAAACTGAAAAGTTATTACTAAGATAGTCCAAAGCACTTTTGAATTAACTGTTCCCCTCTAAAACGTAAGTTTTTTACCCCACGCTACTTCTGCACTAAAAATATTTAAAGTTGAAATGTTGCATGTGTTTTCACAGAAATTGTTTTTCTGCTTTAAAAAAAAAAGTGGTTGAACCACTTAAACTAAACCGTAATAAAAAAAAATTAACCTTCAGGCAGAGACTAAGCCTGGAAAAATTCAGTCTGAAAGGTGAGTGTTTTGGAAAGTAATAAGTGACTAAAAACAGAGCTTAGAATGCAAATGCTTAGACAAACATTCACAGTTGTGAGCAGCATGCCAGCTAAAATAAAACACAATCAATAAAAACTTCAAAATATTATAGATTGAAGGTTTGTGTTTGCTGTGAAGAGCTCTCAAATGTCACAGAATTATTTTGTACACCTCACTTTTCATTTCATTCTTTGATTACCTGCTTTACATGATCAGTCCATCCTTATAGACCCAAAATATGGTCTATCTCCTGCCTGAGAAAGACTAGACATGATTCCCTTCAGGTCACATCAACGCTACTCCTCAGCTGCATAGAGAGACAGCTGCTGTTGCCTTTAGGGCTAACTAGGCTATTTCTCCAGGTCTGTCCAAACAGAGAAGTAAACTGATTTTGATTGACTTCAATGGGAGCGTAAGGAGCGCGGCACCTAACAGGCTTGGATTCACAGAAGAATTCCTAAAGCCAGAATAAATCTTAGCTTAAAAAAAAAGTTACTGAAATCAACCAGAATGATCTGTTATTTAGAAGTCTTCATTTTTATATAAATTTTGTTAAGTTTGATTTCTCCGTTGGCTTTGAAGTTTAAAAAGACACAAATCTACAAGTCATTCTTTTAACCAGTGTTTTTACTAAAAGCATTTTAGATGCGTCATATTACAAGGGCATATTTGTCCAGTTTGACAATTTCCTAATTTTATATTAAGATTTTTAAAATTAGAGACATTAGGCCAAATTTATTCCTGGTGTAACACCATTGACAAGTTTGTTTACACAGCCTGATTCTTGTAGCTCCACGTGCATGGTGACATCAGCGTGCTCATGCCCTGCTCTGGATGCCTACATGCACACTTCCTTCTACTCCTTAAAGGAATAGTATCTCATTAAGTTGAACAGCTGTTATGTACCCAGAGATACAAGTGATGTAATACATTTAAACACCACCACAGATTATGTCAATTTGTAACTAGTCAAATTTATCCCTAGTGTAACTCCACTGATTTCTGCTATGTTACACCAGGGATGAATCAGGCCCATTTTTAATAGCATGTCTTTTTGAGATAGTAAAGATGTAAATTATAAGTATGTTAACCTCCGCCCCCTCCCAAACAAGCCACCTGGCCCCAATCAATTCCTCTCAGACAAGCCACCTGGCCCCAATCAATTCCTCTCAGACAAGCCACCTGGCCCCAATCAATTTTATCCAGTAAACTACCCTACTCCCTCCAAATTACCTGAAGACCAACAGTAAACTGTCTGTACCAGTTCTCTCCCGAGTCTTGACAAACCATCATCAATTTAAACCTCCGGACTCCTACCAATTCACCCAGTCCCCAACTAATCTGCCTCAGTTTATTTCTCCAGGTGAGAACTCAGCAGCCCCTCCTCAAGGCCAGTAACAAACTATGCATCCGAAGAAGTGGGCTGTAGTCCACGAAAGCTTATGCTCTAATAAATTTGTTAGTCTCTAAGGTGCCACAAGTCCTCCTGTTCTTCTTTTTGCGGATACAGACTAACACGGCTGCTACTCTGAAACTTTTCAGTAACAAACTTGTGAGAGGAGGCCCAGTCTTCCTCCTTTTCTACTAGCAAAACACTCTTCTATGGGAGATATTTTTGGTACTCCCCCACAACTGTTTGTGAGCAGCAGCAATAGGAACTACTTTCTTGTGACTTACAATTATGTGTGGCAGGAGGGCCTATTCCCCTACTGACCCTCCATCTCAGCATGTATTCTAAGTGTCTCAATGTGAGGGGCCTCACTGGCCACATAAGCAAATGGCTGGCTCACTATGCTGATGTTTTTAGGAGTCTCTGGAACCAGCCCTACAGGCAAGTTGCTATCCTTCTCCAGTTGCCTGTACTGTGATGGGCTCTTAAAATGAGAGGCCTTGTTGAGCACAAGGGCAAAGGATTTGCCCTTTCCAGTGAGTGCTATGGGATGTGTTATTGCAGTGTAAAATACTTGCCAGCCCCCAAAACAAGCCCCCTCTCCTACTCAAGGCATACCTGGGGATTTATTTTTGCAAGAGGTAGAAAAAGTAGTCAGAGGTGGTCCCAGGCTACTATTGTAAATCTTCTCATGCAGAGAGGAGCCAAACAATGGGTCAAATTAGGCTTTCACTTACAGTGATGTAAATCAAGAGAGACTCCATACAGATCCATGGAGTTACACTGCTGTAAATCTAAATGAACAGACCAGAATTTGCCCCAGGGCTCTTAAAGAGAAAGACAGAAAAGACCAAAAAAAAAATTACTTAGATTAAAACCTCCAAACCCACGTTAAAGGCAACCTCCAAAGGATGCTGTATGCCCGTTCCTTTCTTTTTAAAAGGCACACTAGAGCCCAAACTCCTGGTCAGTGTCCCTTTAATTGTTCCCTGCCTTTCCATGGAGGTTTAAGGCAGCTTTGCTTGCCTGGCGGGTTTTTCCAGGCAGGCTCTAGCTAGCTGCTGTAGCGCAAACAAGGTAGCAGCACAGGCAGAGCCCGGACTGTCTCAGTCGCTTAGCCAACAAACTGTCTTTGATTTAAATACACGACAATATTTATTTTTTCCCCCCAAACGTCCATGCAGAGCTCTACCGCCCCGTAAGAGAACTGCCTAGACAGCTTACCGACTAGTTGTAAGTTTTACGAGCTGCTTGCCTGGGTGTCCCTGATTGCACTTTCCACGTCTCTCCTAGGGAGGCTGCAGCTAAACTTTGCAACTATCGAAGAAGTCGTTACTATACTTTAACCAAGCCACCAAAGCGGACATGAAACAGGCTCCATGCATTAAAGGGGGCTTCGCCGCCGACTCGGGCGCGTTAACGGCTCCGGGAATTGATTCCAAATACATACCAAGGCTGTTGCATTGTCAGTAGGATACTAACAGGAAAGGGCGATCCGTGCGCGGCTGGGCGAGCCACAGCTGGAGAGGAGCAAGTGGAGTTCCATGGCTCGTGCGGCGCGGCGTGTCCCTCCAAGCAGCCAGCTCGGAGAGCAAAATAAGCCCCGTGCGGAATATGGATACCCAGTGGCACTGGGGAGTAAAATATGCGGCTCTCCGCGGACGGCTAGCCTCTCCCCAGGCCAGACCCTCTGGGAGGGAGGCTCGGCTATGCTCTCGCTGGACCTACCCCTGCTAGTAGAAAGCAAAACGCGAGCTGGATCCCCCTAGCTGGAGTGGGATTCCTTGCCCTGCCCTCCCTGGCCTCTTTAGGCAGGAGACTGCCCTTTCCCTCTCTCATAACAGAAGACTGCCTGAAGGAGAAATTAGATGAGAATACCATGTGCAGCGCAAATGCTCCCATAATACAAGAGATGCCTTCAATAAAAGCTAAATTGCCCAATTCTTTACAGAATCATTAGGAGGAGAGATGGAAAAGACCTATCTGGTTCTATTTGGTCCCTCCGGGACCACTGCAGGTTTGTCCCCTGGACTTTGTTTTCTAACCAGAAGTTTGCCGTCAGCATATAGGGGCTTTAACCTAAAAACAGACACTGAAAATAATTTTAGACCCAATGTTTTGGCTTTAGGTTTTAAAAAACATGCGAAACAAATTATTCTATTAATTATGGAGTGACTGGTCATGGTTTCATAATTAAAGTTCATCACCTCTTAGTAGGTGATGCCCAATGTGCCTGTACAAATCATGAATTTATTAGATCCGGGGGTTCAATGTTGGGTTGGTATTCACGATGGTGTGATTGTTGGTTTTAAAACATTGCCCTATTATTTTTAATTCAAACAAGGAGGGAATGTGCACATGCCTATGAAATATGCATCTGTGTGTACATGGCCTATAGTAGAACCAGCATCATAGTGACACACTCATCCATAGGTGCTCAATTAGTCACTCATAGAGAAAGAGAAGCTGCTACTGTTCCCTCCCCATCCAAAGGAGGATACGCAAATATGCCGAGGGAGTTGGAATAAAAATACAACAAGGAGTCTGGTGGCACCTTAAAGACTAACAGATTTATTTGGGCATAAGCTTTCGTGAGTAAAAACCTCACTTCTTCGGATGCAAAAACCTCACTTCTTGCTATGCATCCGAAGAAGTGAGGTTTTTACTCACGAAAGCTTATGCCCAAATAAATCTGTTAGTCTTTAAGGTGCCACCAGACTCCTTGTTGTTTTTGTAGATACAGACTAACACGGCTACCCCCTGATACTTGATACCATGCAAAGGAATAAAAATAAAAGCTCCTGTTGCGTCCCTACCCCCAATGGAGAAAAATAAGAAGCTTCTCTGGTAGTCCCACTCTCCCCATAAATCCCATATGCCTCCATGTTAGTCTTCACTGCACACTTTCCTCTACAGCCAGTGCAGAGAAAACTAAAACCAAGGTTAGCTTACAAAACAACATACTCAACAAGCTGGTTACATCAAAGTGGAGTGCAGCCCTGCTCACTTTTCAATCAACAATACTCTAGGACTTTGCTACTCCTTAGTTGAATGTACTCGTGCAGCGTGGACATGATCCCCTCACACAAAGAAGTTAGACCCTGAACTTAACAGCATGCCGGCTGCTATATTAAAGAATGCCTTAAATCTAGTCACATCAACAGCCTCTACATTCCCCCAGGTACTGCTCCTTCTGATATAAGGCAGGAAGTTGCTAGTAGAGTCAAGCACACAAGGCAATGCACAGATCGAACACATCCACTATATGATATAACTTGGACACTATGTCGACTGAAGTCACAACAAAGTTTTCTTACCATGGTTAGACCCCTGACATTGTCAACCAAACAAGAGTTCAGTTATGGCAAACAAGAGTAGAGAACAACCCTGTAGCCTGAGTGCTCCACCTCCCACTAGTTGAACATCTACCACCCAGTGCAGACCAGCCCTGGACCATATAAAATGTCTTAATCAACTCCTCTCTGGAGTTGGCCAGTCTGTTAATAAAAAATTCATGGCCCATGGCCTGTCCATAACTTATACTACAAATACCTGTGATTAAATCTTGCTGGAAGTGTGTGGCGGGCCACTGCTCGGGGGTGCGTCGGGGGGGGGTGTCCGTTGCTGGGGGAGAGCGGGGGAGGGCGCTGCTGCGGGGGCCGCCTGGGGCCAGCGGCACCAGCTGCCGGTGGCCGAGGACCGCGGCTGCTCAGGGACCGCTGCCAGGGTCCCTGCTCCAGCCGGCCACCCAGGGACTGCTGCTGGGGGTCACCAGAGCAGCAGCTGGTATGGCTGTCCCCTGGGCCGTTTCAGCAGCGGCTCATGTGGGTGTCCCAGGGGCCACCTGAGCAGCTGGCCCCGGAGCCAGCTGCTTGGGCAGGCCTGGGGTCAGCCACACTGGCCCCTGCAGAAGTCACAGAAAGTCATGGAATCCGTGACTTCCGCAACCCTTGTGACAGACACGGAGCCCTACACATGTGCATAGATGTAATAAGAGGCAGTATGAGGACACAACAAGAAGACTCTCCTTATGCCTCTCTCCACCCAGGAGAAGAAACTTCAGACAAAACTGCCCACTACTTCCCAGAGACAAAAGGAGCAAGAAAGTGTGACTGGAAGTAAGAGCAAAGTCAGCCCTCCCAAATCCTTCACAGTCAGTCCTGAAGAAAGACTGATGCCATGTCTACACAAGAGTCACTATAAAGGGGTAGCTACAGTGCTGCAAATGCTTCCTACAGCGATGGAAGGAGTTTTTCATCACTGTAAATAATCCACCTTTCCAAGTCTGCACTGCAGGTTAATTGTCAATTTAACTTTTAAGTGTACATCAGACCTTAAAATATTCCTGTTATTGCCTCAAACGTTTTGTCAAACTGGAAAGTGTGCCACTCTCTTTAATGTATCTCTACATTGGGGAAATGGTCTAGTTCTGTTGCTTTCCTGAAAACTGCTCCTGCGATGGTAGCAGGGCTAGGAAATACCCAATTTGGGCCAATATGCCAAACTGATACTTCTCTGATGATACTATCTTGTTCTCCAGAATCTCAGGCCTGGTTTACACTTAGAAGTTAGGCTGACATAGCTACAGCAGTCAGGGATTCACACACCTTAATGCTGTAGCTATGCCAACCTAACCCCCCAGTATAGACACAGCTAGGTCAACAGACAAATTCTTCTGACAACATAGCTACCACTTATCAGAGGTGGATTACCTACAGTGGTGGAAAAACCCCTTCCATTGCTGTAGGATGTGTCTTCGTCACCTTAGAATGTACAGTAGACATGGCCTCAGTTTTCATTGAATAACAAACACTAAGTCTCTAGCTGTTTCAAAGTTTCTTAGAAATGTGAACCAACCCATGCAAAGTTGAGTCTGCCAAGAGCCTGGCATGACAGCTCTGAGAGGTCTGAACTGTCCCATTCACCTCGGTTAGGTGTTAACACACATGCCCAGTGATGATTTTAAATTACAACATTATTATTTAATTCCTCGTGTAAGAAAAGAAAGGGAGGATCATAGATCTACAAATTTTATTGACACATCTAATTTTGGTGCCACAAGTAGGTGGCACTTGATAGATACCACCACTGATCTCTCCCCACCTAATCAAGATGGAGCAAAGCTCAAGGAATCTACCAGAGCCCAAGGACATAGTTCAGCCTCACTGAGGGAGAGCCAAGCTCAAATAGGGCAGTAGAGCCAAGCAGCACACATTATCATATTTTGAATAGCTGTGGCTATTTTTGTTGATTCACACAGGTGGAGATTATTTTGTAGGTGGAGTTTGGAAGGTGCCACCCCCCTACCCAATTTGATCCTTCTAGAAAGACTGTTCTTGTGGAGAAGTAGACCCCAGGACCTCCTTCATTGCAAAAATAGTTCTTGCTAAGGGAAGAAAGAGAGCCTTGAGCTGCTTCAGAGGGTAAATCTACACTGCAACATAAGCCCAGGATTAGTGGGAGTCAAGTCCACAGACCCTGGGTTGTAAGACCAGGGCTTGAGCATCCACATTCATTGGTGACCCCAGGTTTACAATTTCTGGACTCAGACCCCAAACCTGGGAGACCAACATCCACACAGCAGTACACTGACTCAAGTCAAACCACCATATTCCAAACTTCCCAGTGCCTTCCTATCTGTGGCCGCTCTAGTCCCTGGTTTGTTGTGCAGTGTGGAACAACCTGACTGTACTACCATACGTTACAGGAAGTTGTCACAATCCACAAAGTTCCTAATGCATCCTGCTGACCTGTCTTTTGGGTCTACATGGTCTTGGCAACCGCAGCCAGCAACATGGAGGAGTAACCATTTGAAGATCTTCTTTTGCTTGTGTTTTTGTTCCTGTTTCAGCAAACAGGCAGAGTATCCATGAGACACTGGTGGACATTCTGGTGGCATTTTCTAACCTATCAAAGACTCCTGATGGAGAAAGAGGAGGAGGATTACAGACATGGAAGATTTGAACTGGCTGATGCTCCATGTGACTCTTGGTATCGCCACTATGTAGACCAGCCTTTCTGGAGCAGGGCAACAAGCACAGACTTGTGGGATCACATTGTCATGCAGACTTCAGATGACCAGCAGTGGGTACAGAACTTTTGCATGAAGGAAGCCACATTTCTGGAGCTTTGTGAGCAGCTTACCCCCATCCTCCAGTATCAGGACACACAAATAGTGGCTGCTATGTAGATCGAGAAGGAAATCTATAATTGTTTGGAAGCTGGCTACCCCAGACTGCTACAAATCCATTGCTAGCCACTTAAACGTTGGAAAGTCAACTTGGGAGATATCATAGCTACCACTGTGTAATGATTTGGGTGATTTACCCAAAAGTGGTGGGCATAAACAATATCCCTGAAGTAATTGCTGATTTATGGATGTCAATGTGGACTGCACTGGAAGAGTTAATGATGCCAGGGTTTTCTGATTATCAAAAGTCGACATTCATGGACAGGCTGGGACACTATTGCCACTAACTGCCATTGTCATAAATGGAGTTACTGTTTGGGGGATCCCACGTACCCTCTTTTGCCTGGCAAAAAAAGGTTTAATTACACTCTCAGCTTGTGCAGAATGGTGGCTGAATGTGTGTTCAGCTGATTGAAATCCTGTTGGTGCTGTCTGCAGACCCATTTGGATTCCTATGTCATCAATGCTGTCTGCATTATTGTAGCTTCCTGTTTTCTTCAACAATCTTTGCAAAGCCCATGGTGTGCCATTTGACTC